ATATTGAGTGATCATTTATTTCATGTACAGCTAAAAAGACAAACACATTTATCCACCTTTAAAAAACAATTTTGTATAAAAAAAAACTTACGATGCGATTCATAATTAATGAAAATATAAATTCTTACCTGTGCCTGCGTGAATGATATCTAGAAATTATCGCGCTCTGATTGGCTGGCTGGAGTGTACCAAACTGTATCAAAGTAGAGGCACATACTTTGATACAAACTGCAAAGATGTTTCAACAAGTTCCAATAATGTGCGTAAAGGGCAAACATGTATCAAAGTGTTTCGGGGATGCTACAAAGGCCTATAGTAAGTGCATGTGTGTAAGCATAATGCAATATAAATTTTGACTCCCATCCTCTTTTTTAAGCCATGGTAATACGTATCTCATTTACAAGAAGGCCCAATAGGGTATAATATATTTGTAACAGTAAGAGTATTTTATTCTGATTTACTATACATTACAAATAAAAAAAATGAACATGACTTAAGGACTGTGGGATAACCTAAGGATATAACATAGTACTTAAAACGAGAACTACAACTCGGTCGTTTCCTTTGCTTCGGGGTCTTGATGCAGCGACGACTCAGCGTCAGCACTCGGCCGTGTTTCTATCTCGACCATTTCTTTCTTTTCGAGCTCAGCAGGACCTTCGTCGGAGAAGGCGGGGTTGTCGTGGCCTTGTTTTCCGTTGGCGAGAGCAGTGGCCTTCAGGTTGTCTTCGCCTCGGCCTGTGGAAGAGCAGTGGCAAGTTCTTATGGATAAACTCCTTTAGTCACCAGTCAACAAACGAGTCCAAAAATTTTCCCTTCGTATGAAACATAAAATGTGAAAATATCAAAAAGTCTAAAGAAGAATTATATCAACCGTGATTAATGCTTTGACGATTATCACGCGAAAAATGAAGAGAATGACCGATGCCTCCACAAGACGTCCGAGGAGGAATGCAAGAGCAATGGCAGCTTCGACTTACCTGGTCGCCTGAAGATGAGCTTCTCGAGGCCCAAGACTGGAGCCTCTGCCGTGAGCGAGACCAGCACAGCCACGACGATGGATATGAAGATTGTGCCGCAAGCCTGGATGACCTAGACGGACAAAAGATATATTCTGAGTAATTCATTCACAGATATTAGAAAAAAAATCAATTGACTATGCATTTTCACATACTTAATTGTCTTGTTTGCAAAGAATACAAACAAACCTTGTCTATATGCGTAAAGTAAGTAAGTTCTTTAAGGCTGTAAGCCCAGAAGATCTGCACAGGAATGGCGACGAGGTACATACTGTACGTAAGGCGGGAGAGCGGCTGCCACGAAGGGTGGGAGAGAAAGTCGTTGACGACACCTGCAACAGCCACCTTCGTTAGTTAAATAAAACAGGCAGATTGTGCTATTTATCGATAAGGAATCCACGTAATAATGCATCCACAACACGCCCAGCTGTACACATCTCTTGTCCCGCTGAAGGACAAGCACAACCTCCGTAGCCGAAGTGACAAGCCACCACCACCAAGCCAGGGCGGCGCACCAAACACCCCTGTGGAGACCGCCGTACAGGACCTGGGTTACAGGGTCGTAGTAATAGTTGGTTTGCAGCTGGTTGTAACTCCACAGGCCGAACAGCACTGACAGAGCCGAGAACGCGGCTACCGTCCAGCCAGTTAATACCTGCACCTAAGAACGAGGACAGTAACGTGTGAAATAATGGAATGGCTGCAAAATTTCAATATTATGAAATCTCAAAATTCACTTTATATTCAAAATATTTGTTCTTTGAATATTACAGGTGTCAATTTAAGTTTGTTTGATCCTTGTTCAAAGATGATGTGGCCAGTCCAGATCCCCACGATGTAGGCACTCATACGGCTCCACGGCGCAAGTTACACCATATTTTGATAACCAATGCATCGACTTCACTGTTTTTGTAAGAAAAAAAATTAAGTAATCGGAAAAAGACAAACGGCTAATCAAAACAATTTCTCAGACTGAGAGAAGCAGATACTCAAGATCTCAAACACGATGGATGACGCTTCTTTGTTGTAATTGTTCTACAGACACTTTGAGGATGGCTAAACATTCGTGTACTCAAAAATGATCGTGTTGGCCTGAAATTGCAGCGTAAACAAAACCTTGTCAGGAAATCCGTTGGATTCATGAATTAGAAGGGGGGGGTTAAGAAACAGCAAAAAGGCGTAACTTACTCGGCACGCCGGCCGATATTGACCCTGGAGGAAGGTCGTAGGCGTAGATCACAGCTGCTGGGACTATGAAGGACACCAGAGTTACCAGGAACAGCAGAATCTTCCCTGGAATAAACAGTAGTTGGAATGCTTTCTTTCTGGGACTACACCATCGGGTAATTAGAGCAATAAAACGAGACTAATTGACATACAAATCAGGCTCCGGCAGAGTTGCACATGAAGAAATACGGCAAGCAATGAAATGTTGATTGAAGTAAACGGAACAATGGCGAGGTAGTTCAACAGATTTCGAG